ATGTGTGCACTTCCCTCTTTTTGTGGGGGGGTGTGCATACATGCACTTCCCACTTTGTGTGTGTGTGTGCGTGCACCTCCCTGCCTTTGTGTGTGTTTGTGTGTGCATCTGTGCACATTTGTGTGTATATTTCCTTATCTGCAGGGTGCAAGTCTCGGGGGGGGGGCACTTTCTTGTCTTTGTGTATGTGTGTGCAGGTGTACACGTATGTGTGCTCCTTCCTGTCTTTGCATGCTTGCGCATGTGCATCTATGTGCACATTTGTGTGTACATTTCCCTATCTGCAGGGTGCAAGTCTGTGCCTGGGGGAGGGGGATACTTTCCTGTCTTTGTGTGTGTCTGCGTATGTGTGCACCTTCCTGTCTTTGCGCATGCACGTGTGTGTGTGTATCTATCTGTGCACATTTGTGCATGCATTTCCCTGCCACATGGTGTGAGCCTTGGCCTGGGGGGAGGGCACTTTCCTATGTGTGTGCATGTGTGTAGCATCTGTCTGGGGGCGCACTTTCCTATCTATGCGTGTATGTGTGTATGCATGTGTGCCTACGTGTGTATGTGTGCGCATGTGTGTAGGCACGTGCGTCTACGTGTGTATATGTGTATGTGTGTGTGCATATGTGTAGGCATGTGTGTCTACATGTGTATATGTGAGTTTATATGCTTGTATGTGTGTGCATGTATGTGTGTATGCATGTGTGTATACGGGTGTAGGCATGTGTATCTACGTGTGTATATGAGTGAGTTTATATGCTTGTATGTGTGTAGGCATGGGTGTCTATGTGTATGCATGTGTATATGTGTGTAGGCATGTGTGTCTACGTGTGTGCGTATGTGTGTGTCTATGTGTGTAGGCGTGTGTCTCTACGTGTGTATATGGGTGAGTTTATATGCTTGTATGCGTGTAGGCATGGGTGTCTATGTGTGTATGCATGTGTATATGTGTAGGCGTGTGTGCCTACGTGTGTGCGTATGTGTGTGTCTATGTGTGTAGGCGTGTGTCTCTACGTGTGTGTCTATGCGTGTAGGCATGTGTGTCTGTGTACGCGGGTAGGTGTGTGCCCGCGTGTGCGCGCCCCCCCGCGCGTGTTGGCGCCCCGTCCCGTGCGCGCCCACCCGCGGCCCTTGCGCGCGCACTGAGTCCCCCGCCCCCTTGCCCCG